AGCGTAACCTTCGAGCTCGGGAACTTATTGAGACTAGAAGACAAGCACTTGGTCAGCGAGACACTAGCGTGCCAGCCCGTACCAACCCTTTCACCCAGGGCTTCCAGCGTCCAGCGAACCCTACCGGCTCTCCTCAAATGCAGCAGCCAACCACAGCGCAGCATGTGAGGAGTAATTCGAATGAGTCTATCAACTCTACCGGCACGGTTCAAGGCGCTCCAGCATCACCAGTCCTCGGTCGACGCAGGAGCAATCGCAACATGCTTAACAGCACACCACCTGGTGTCCTCCCGCCGCAACAGGGAGCCTATACCGCTCCTCCGATTGCGTATGCAAACAGCTACTACCGCCCACGACCAGGATCTTCATCTGGCTCCCCGGCGGCATACGAATCAACACTGACAAACAACACACGGGGCAGCCCTATGATGGCGGGCCCCCTTATCTAAAATGGTACTTTGCTGCCATGGACTTTTCTTTTTTTATCGTGTTTTATCGGTGTTTTGGACACGACACTCCTTTAGCTTTGAGCGGGTTACAACTACTCGGTGTATGTGATTATGAGTGTATATTTGTTTTCACAACTGTTTTTAGCGGCATCAGAACTGGTTCAGCGAGCTTTTCATCAAGGCATTTACTGGCGTCATTCATTCGGGCACTATACCATGGCATTGAGCGATTGGGTCCTGGAAAGGCATCAACATGAGCGATGGATGGGAAAGGGGAAGAAATTATCTTAGTTTACTTGCATTTGGAATGATCAATGAGGGTCTCGGTGGCGCTGAATATGGAACTACATGATGATGGAAATGTGAGCTCCGCTTGATGCATCTGTGGCGCGTTTCTTGACAAGGTTGCATACCTCATGTCTTCCTCTCGTCATCTTATCCTTTTCCCACTTCCAGCTCGTCTTCGTCCTCACTCTCTTCACTCTCCTCCTCTTCATCTTCCTCCTTTTTGTTCGTCCTTCCCTTCGTCTTGTCTTCGTCCTTCTCCATTTTCTCGTCTCTCTTGTGCTTTACCTTGCCATCTTGGTAGCAAAGATGGAGTTGTTTCATGTCCCGATGTACGATCAGTCTTTCTAGAGGCTTATGGGCATGTTACAGGCATGTTAGTGGGCGAGTAAACAATCAAATTATTGTGTGAAGTTTAGAAAGACATAAGACGCCACAAGATGAATAGCACGTACTTGGAGGCAACGTGTTCAGCCGTTCGAGATTGACTCCTAGATGTACTAATCCCTTATTCCTGCCGGCTAGCCGCCTCCTTGCTTAGTACTTCCATCTTCGCCGTGAGCTCCTTTTCGATCTTGTCGATTCTTTTCTTAACGCCAACGAATACCTCATCCACCATATAGTGCAATCGTTCGAAGATCTCTTCTGGGGATTGACTACTAACAGCCTTCTTCGCATAGTCTTGCAGCACTCTCTGCGTCTTCTCAGTTTCCATCTGCTCGACAACCTGACTGGAAACTCTGTCTCGTAGCTCTTGACTCTCTAGCACTTTTCCCACCTTCGTATGGATTGCGGCCTTGCTTTTGGTAGTAAGATCATGGATAGTAGAAGAAAAGGCCTTCGAAAAGGCAGCAGGTGCCAGTTGGGCTTCGATATCGAGCACCTTGTTTCTTAGGTCGTTGATCTCCTGCGGAAGGTCTTTTGTGTTCACTTTCAAGATCTCGATTTCGGATTGCAGGCGCTGGAGAGGGAGCTCGATGACTTGAACAGCGGGCACTTGTTTTCCATCGACGGATTGGGAGATTCCACTCATACGATCGGATTTCTAGGTATTGCGTTGTGAAGAAATGTGTGTAGAGTGCAGTGATGGAGGAACAGTGCTAGAATGTGGAGACGATGGTCTTGTAGCGACGTGCAATAGGTTTGCGACGAACTGGACAAGAGCTGCGAGTGGACTAAACGACAAATACACATGTCATCTTGTGACTTATGATACTACATACCTGTCACCTATCCCAACCACAAATCCAACTATAGTCACAACTTCACAAGCATGCTGTGAGCATGAATTCTTCTGTCATCACCTACTTCCCTTACAGCGCCGCATCTACGGGCTTCCATTTTCCAGCTTCGCTCTTCTCATCAGGCCTATCATCGCCATATTGTGAGTTGCGCGGAGTCGACGACAGATCGTGTGCTTACAACGAGAAGGCAAATAAACAAACTACCACGATAGGCACGTATACCAGCAATATAGTGGAGCTAGACTGATTTCGCTCAGAAATACTGAATCCATCAGCAGACCCCATCTCCATCAAAATGACATGCTGATCATGGGATACGAAAGGTGTGAGAGAGAGGAGCTATATTTGAGCTTGACTAGCTAATTACTCGCGTCTCCACCTATTCCTCTTCAGTCAACGAACCTATCTGATGATGCACAGAGCGGTCACTATGATGCCACCAACGGACTTCTTCCCTGGCATAGCAACGTAAACGGCATTATACACTGAAAGCCTCCCGCACGCGATCGTTTTTCTGAGCAGACGTCTCCTTTTACCCTCGTGACAAAAAGCCTCCCATAAGAACCACACGATCTTCTCGCTAAATCAGATCGCCGACGACATCGATCAGACCTGATGCTTGTACTCGTATAACTCTTCAAGTGGCTGACCTTTTAGCAGCTTCATCTCTTGACGGTAAGCCTTTTTTACTTTCCCGAGTCTTCCCACTTCAGCCACTGACACTAGTTTATCCAACAGAGCAGTGTTCTTCTTGAAGAGAATCCTATAGTTCTTGAACATGCCAGACATACGTGTCTGCAGCAGATCCCTAGCTTCGACAGCTGCCTTCTTCTGCATCTTGATCTTTTCCTTCGACATGGAGTCTCTGCTGAGCTCGATGAGCTGTTCGCCGCGCTGACGGAAGCCCTGCTCTAGTTTTTCGACTTGGATGTGAAGTTCTTGGATGCGCTGTCGTGCTTCAAGAAGTTCTGTAGAGTCATCTGTCTCCAGCTCCATAACCTTCCTCGACAGATTGACATTCTCTTTGATCAATCTGTTGTTGCGCTGCTTCAGCTTTTGTGTGAGCTTCTTGCTTTTTCGCGCATTATCCTTTATACCTCCTTCGGAGTCGTTCATCTCCTTCTTGTAGAGCTCCTTTTGGTCGCAGACGTCCTGGGTCAAGGCGAAGATCTCGGCCCTCAGGTTGTCGTGCCCTGCATTGAGTAGCTCAACGTTGCGTGCAAGTGCGGCCTTCTCATCTGCGAGCTTATTGTTTTGTTCTCGGAGTGTCTTGATTGCAATTCTGTAGGCTTCTTCTTGTCGCTCGGCCTTGTAAGTGCCTTGCTCATCTTTGAGTAGCTTGAGGTCGCGCGAAAGTGCGGCATTCTCTTCGGCAAGCGTTGTTTTATGTTCATGAAGTATCTGAATCTCCGCGCTGGCGCCTTCGTATTGTCTCTTGAGAATGACGTTCTCATCTGTGAGTAGCCGAACACAGCGTCCAATAGTGGTTTTTTCTTCTGCAAGCTTCGTGTTGCTCTTGCGAAGAAGCTTGATTTCTGTTCTAGCGGATTCGTCGTGTCCTTCGGCCTTCACCTTCAGAATAGCAATCTGGTCCTGGATGAGGGTTTCGTGCACTACAGGTGTCCCATGCTGCTGCTTCACTGCCGCTTCCAGGTCCAAGATATACTTCTCCGTGCTCTCTTTCTCCTCCGTCAGAACTTTCTCGTGGGCCTCCAAGGCTTCTTTACCTAACGCGTGTTCCAAGGCTTTGCGTGTCTCAAACATGAACAACTTCTCCTCTTCCGTGTACGGCTGTTCTGATTGAGACACTTTGGGGTGGGCATCAGAGGTGGTCGTCTGAGAGCTGTTGCTGTCGCGCTTCTGTTTGGTTGCTGGACCAGGCGAAACAGCCTGCGCTGGCATGCCGCTAGATTTTGCACGCTTCGTTAAGCTGGGGGAAACAGCTCGTGCTGGGACGTCGTTGGGCTTTGCGCGCTTTGTTGGACGACCACCACCAGCTTTCGGAGTTTGTGGCTTCTCGACCGACCGAACGAAGATGATATCGTCCATACTGTCTGAGTCTAACTCGGTGACGTACTGTGCGTCCATCTGCTCGTACTAATATCAGTGTGTGTTGGGTAGGTGCAAGCGGCGCGCATACCGTATTTGTAAAAGTCACCGACTGTCGTGCTTCGGTGATGGAGCCATGGGGCTAGAGGACCGAGAGCTATCTTTGTCTCCTACACTTGTGGTGAAGGTGAGTGAAGATTGCGGCTAGATCAGGCAGCGCGACGCGCTGACTTTGGTCATCAAAGCCCTGGGGAAGGAGAGACGCGTCGAAGTCGAATGTCAAAGCAGCACAATGGATCCAAATTATATAATCAAACAAGATTCCAGGCGAACTATTAGTGAAGGCTACTTCCTAAGAGACGAAATGCCCAGAGCGATGTAGAAAGCATCATCTTGTACTTGCTTATTAGGCATTTCAAGCCCCGAAACCTATGACCTACCCATCATTGGCCATGACTTCCTTGCTCTTGTACACCGCCGAATCTTCGAGAGAACACACCAAGAGTGAGAAGCTGTGTATATAGATAAGTTCGCATTTCATGCTCGTCGTGTGGTAACATCGCGGCGCGCGACAAACCTGTCGAAACACATATTTCCCACCACATCTATCGTCAACTTTGAACCCGTCAAATCTTCAGAGAGTATTTCAGAAGCCGTTCTGATGGGACCGATTATGGTGGAGATGTTGACAACAGAGGTAGGATGGTCGCTGTAGGTTGGTCCTTGCAGGCGGCGTCTTGCGCTAGCCAGCCACCTAAAAAAGCGCGTCACACAACTTCAAGAAAAGTCTCGAGGATATACACCATCTTTCGCATATCAAAATTCTTAATTGCTACCAATGACTATCTTCTAGGCGCCGACTTACAGTGCACTGGAGAAAAGAAAGCGCTCCATCGCCGATATCAAACTCCCAGGAAATGCTCATCTGAAAATACATGACTGTCTACAATCACATGCCTGTTCGCGAATCGTCCTACTTCTTCTTGAACAAACCCTTTCCAAGCAGATTCTTCAGCTTGCTTTCCTTTTCTTCATTACTCATGTTAGCCTTACGCTTGCCTTCCGCGACTGTCTGACCCTGGGAAGCCTGGGGTTGAGCCTTTTCCTCTCGTACTGGCTCTTCAACTTTGAGCGCCTGAGCCTTCGCTTGCCATTCCTGCGAAAGAGTATGCCGGCTTGCCCTCACCTCAGCGCTAGCATTGTCGGCCCATTGGAAAGTGATAAGCTCGTTGTTGAAGAAACGAAGATCATGCACTAAACGCTTGTTGTCTTGTGGAATGAGGACGAGACGACCGGTTGGACTCGTGTTCTTGAGCTGAAAGGGTTCATTCTTCTTCTCCAAAAACCCACGAACGAAGTCGTACAGACCAACTGCAGTATCATTCTTGTTAAAGCTCATTTGAATGAGCGCACCGTCCGGCATCCGTATGCGAAGTGCACCACCCTTTTCGGCTGCCGCGTCGATCTTGGCCTGTCGTTCCTTTTCTTGCTCCTCCAACTCTTTGTCGGACAGCAGCCTCGTGTTCCGTGTTTTGCCTAACAACGCGTTTTGATGTGCCTTTGCATGCTCGATGGTGGGAAGGTAATCACTTTCGTTGAAGGCATTTCGCGCTGCTTGTGGAGTTGACGATGTTGGCGCAGAAAAGATCTGGACGTTGCGAGATTGTTCTGATGGCTGTGACGAGGTTTGGGGGGCTGGTGCATGGGATTGAGTAGGTTCTGCAGGTGCAGACGACGCTGTTGATGTTGCTGCAGCCAACGCTGCAGCCGGCGAAATATTCTCCACGCTCTCGGTCGCATTGTTCTCTGTAGATACTTGGGGCTCTTGTACGGGCTGCGCAGCCGGTTTCGGATCGACTTCCATTGGCTCTGGATCAGGCTCATCGTTACGAACAGTCTCGCCTGCTACGACTTGTGTCGCCTCCGGAGCTGCCTGGGCAGGATCAGGTATTGATGCTAATTGATCGGTTGTCGAGGCATGTGCACCTCCCGCACCAGCAGACGCAGGCTCAGTAGACTTGAAGTACTGCGTTATTTGTGCCATGGCCTCTTCCAGCGGGGTGCCGCTGTTCTTGTATGACAGCTTTAGCAAGGTCGACCCACTATCGAAACCCAGCTGGCTGAGAGTCTGTTGTAGCTCGACGAAGTTGGACTGCTCCTTGTGGCCTGGCATGACCGTTATGACGGGTTGCTCGTAGTGTAACCTGCCAGCACCAGATGCGCCGCTCATCTCAGGGATACCGCGCTGTGTGAAGTTATAGTTGGCCCCCTGACCACTCTCGAAGTGTCGCAGTATCTCCCATAACGAAGTGTTGCTTGCAAACTTGCTTGTAAGGCGTTTGTTCTGTTCGCTTGCGGGAAGCTGGAGCGCGACGGATATAACGGTGGGTGATCGCGATGCTTGGACAAGCTCCAATCGGGCTCCCTGGGGAAGGTTCGCTAGCCGTATTTGCTGGGATAGGGAAATAGGCTTATTGTTATACCTGGAGCCTGGTTAGTCGTGATCCAGTAGAACAGTATCTTGCAACCGACTTGAGCGTAAACTGATCCTTGTTGACGCCAAACTTCTGGCATGCCTCGTCCCTGACTTCAGTCAAGTACTTGGTGGGTGTTGTCGGGATTTTGAAAGTCCTCGCGTACGAGTTGAAAACTACGACGTGCGACATTATGCGCGAATGAGTCTGTAGAGACCGAAGGCGAGAAGGAACGCAGCGGGAGCGTTGGCTATCAAGATAGCGCGTGAGTACCAGCAGTTCCAGCTATGTGCTTTTCGGGTTGCTTCGCTTCGTTCAACCAGGAGAATGATGCTGGCGATGTGGAGGAGCTTTGCTTCGGCGAAACTGAGTAGGAGGTTGTTTGGGCCTGCCATAAGAGGCGATTAGGAAGCGTGTTCACACAGTGTCGCGGACGGTGAACGCCAATAGGGGCGCTTACCAATCCTTTGTAGGTGCGAAGGTTTATAGTGCAATCACCGGGTTGCGCGGCGAGAGACGCGGTTTTGGGGCGATAGCGATGGTGTTGATTCGGACGATGTCGAGGGCGATGGAACGTTTATAGACTCGGCAAACGGTCGTTGTCGCAGGCTTCCGTGATATTGAGGGAGCAGGCACTCGATCGACTTTCGACTGTTCGCAGCTGCAGTGTCAGCCGGTAGCGTGGTTCTGGAAGCTTCGAGGAGGCTTTGCCGCGTATTCAGGTGTCGGTGCCTGCAGGTGTTGTACCTTGCCCTACACGTCGATCGTCGGTGACGGAATACCAACACCCCGCCCCCACTAAATCTAGAGAGCTTCTGTCCAAGTCGCGCCTCCTCCACAAACAACTACACCGACCCATATACACCACAACAATCATGTCTAGAACCGTCGAGATCAAATCGCCTGCACAACTGAGCTCTCTGCTCTCCTCGTCGCGCGTCGTAGTAGTTAATTGTAGGCCGCGGCCCGGCATCTGCTGGACAAACTTCGGACGCTAACACCTGTTACTTGCAGTCTACAACGAAGAAAACACGTCGAGCAAAGCCATTGCGCCTGTATACGAACAACTAGCTGGCCAGCTTACACGGCCCGGACAGATCACCTTCACCAAAGTCAGCACAGTGCAGCAAGCACAAATTGCACAGAGCTATAATGTCACCAAGTATGTACATCATTGAAACGACGTAATTTGAACAATATTTAACATCCCATAGCACCCCGACATTCATCATCTACAAGAACAACCAGCAGATAAAGAAATACGCCGGCTCGAATCCCCAGCAACTTTCCGAAGCGATCAAGACCCTCGCTGCAGAAGCAGAGAACGATGGAAAGGGAGGCAGTAGCGCTTCCGGTGCAGGCGGAATTACCAGCGGAAGTGGTGCTTGGATAGGCGCCAACCTGCCGCGCGGGTACACCGATGTAACCGACTCCGTTGACCCACGCGGCCTCGATCTCCTCAACGCGGACAGCGATTTCGGCACCGTCAAGACGCTTTTCGAGACATCACAACCTAGCTCGCTCAACAAGGGCAAGGGCGCATCGACTGGCTCAGAAGGCAAGAAGGACTGGGTAGAGAGTGATGTGGACAACCAGCTTATGCTGTACGTCCCCTTCATGGCCAACTTGAAGGTCCACACAATTCAGATCACATCGTGTGTGTCCGGAGACGAAGACGACGACGAGGCGCCAGTACGGCCGAAGACCATTCACGTCTGGACAAATCGGGCGAACAACTTGGGCTTTGAGGAGGCTGAGGACATCCCAGCGACTCAGACGATTGAGCTGAAGCCATCAGATTGGGATGAGGCGACACAAACGGCCAAGCTCGAACTTCGGTTCGTCAAGTTCCAGAACGTCTACTCACTGGTACTTTTCGTCGCAGATGGAGAAGGCGACAGTGAGAAGACGCGCATCGATCGTATCCGCTTTGTTGGCGAGACCGGCGAGAAGCGTGAAATCGGCAAGTTGGAGAAGATTGGTCAGGACGACTAGACAACGTCATAATTGAAGTCAGTAGGGTAACATGGCTTCGTCTTAGAGTGGGAACCGGAGTTGGAAGACGTGACGATTAATGCATTACATTCGATCCTAGAACTAATCTGGGGATGTCATGTCCATTGGTACTACCGCCTGATTGAGACACTAGAGTGACTTCATGCACTGTCTTGCATCGCAGGTTCTCAATAAGAATAACACAAGACGTCACGTAAGTAGTTGGAATGTCCACGCCTCTGCCCGAGGCCTCACTCACACACAAGGAAGTGTGAGGCCTGAGCAGTCTTGTCTCCAAGCAAAGCGCGTTTCAATATAAGCATTTCTCGGCCCTTACTCTGCCATTGATAAGGGCAATAGAGTAGGAATTTGACATCCATGCTAAGTAGGTATCATTGACGCATCACACCTCACGCGCACACACGCATGCATACGTGCACCGGGACAGGTTGGTTTGGCGTGAACCAATCGTCACATTTCATGATTTTGAGTGACACATGCTAGGTACGTTTAAGAACCACCATTGTCCATTGCCATACTCCGATGAATCGTGTCATACTTTTGTGGTATGCTGTGACGTTCCGAGATCGTATCGAGCCGCCCGTTGTGAAAAGAGACCGAACACCCAGGATAAAATCGGAAAGTAAGTCGGTCGCTCGTTCGCCGTGTTGCTTCATCCACCGCAAATCGTGAAACCGTTTAGTGACCAGCGCGCCTCGACTCGGCGATGACCTTGGTCATCTCGTCGACCTTTCTCTTTGAGCGACCGAAGGTACCGAGCTGTGATTTGTTAGTGACTGTTTGTATGTGGGAGGTGGTCAAGCGGGCTGGAGATCGGTCGTGTTGTTGTGATGGTGAGAGAGACGTACCCTCTTCTTCGCTAGACGGCGGGCACGCTTGTCCTTGGAGTTGCGAAGCAATTCGATGATGCGCTTCTCGTATGGGGCAAGACTGTAGACACGTCAAGTTAGCACGCTGTCCGATGGTTGTCGCGCAGTTCCTGCGAAAGTTCGAGCTGCAACGTACCCAGCAACCTCCTTGGTGATCTCACGGACAAACGCAGTGCGCTTGGAGAGGAAACCCTTCCTCCTCGAGATCCTGGGAGCGGGGGTCCTGGGGGTGACCTCTGTAGACTGTGTTAGCCTCCATCCACGAAATTTCTTAATTGTAGCGATCGGAGCGTATCGAGAGCGGCGAGCGGGGTGACGTACTGTGGCCGGCGTTGAGGCCAACGATGAGACCAGACTTCTGCTTGACTTCCTTCGGCATCGTGACGGTCGTGATGTTGTCGATTGTCGATGAGTTCAGAGTCGCAGATTTGAAAGGGTAATTTTGGCTCGGCTGTGCGGTGTTGCCAAGATGGCGCTAGCTGTAAGCAGGCACGTGCCTTCCTCGATGAATCTGGCCGCGAACATCATTAGCATGCGTCTCAAACTTTTCAAGCATTGGAATGAATATATTGCGCATCAGCTTTCTGGACGCGCTCCTTGAAGATTTCTGTTATTTTCGGTATGTGAGAGCGCTTGCAAGAACAGAACTGCCTTGGTCGGGACCTTTGTAACGTTTGGACGAACATAATCAATGCAAATCGTTCATATTTGCAGCCTGTTTTCCCAAGCGGAAATCAAAGCAGGAACCAGAAGCCAAATCTCTATCCTCATTTGCCCGGCTGAAGCCAACTGAGACGTACCAATCGTTGGGTAACTCCAAGGTCAAGGTCAAGGAGCCCAATAGGTAACAAACGTCTTTCACACTCAGTCTAGCGCTCCGAAAGGCATCTGCACACCCTCAGGGCTCTTCTCGACGTCATCAAGCCTCATCCTCGAGCTTGATCTCACCAGTGGTAACATACCAGACCTTTTCCTTAAGCTTTTTCTCTATAATAAAAGTGCCGTACAGGGATAAGCACCCATCTGCATCGAATCCCCACCCGATTTCTCTATGCCTTACAGAATGAAGCTCAATGAATTCCGGATTCAGTAAGCCGCTCTCCGTCTTTAGCTCCACGAACGTCCTTTTGTCGAGCTTGTTCCTTCAAGCATCAGTGAGAATCTCTAACAGTCTGATGTTGGCCACTCCCAGATCGAAGATGTTGTGCTGGACGATCGTGTTGGTGAAAGTAAGTGACTCCGAGCGGGTGCGCTCTCCTTTGACAATCTTATAAATTTGATGGTGTTTGGGTGTCGTGCCAGCCTGGAGTGCGAACATATGCGTGTAGCACGCGGTTTGGTAGGACTTCTGGAGGGCCTCACGCAGCTTTTGGGGGAATACATCGACTTTGGAGTTCACTGTGACCGAGATCTGGAAGAGCATATCTTCTTCTCGCTGAGCCAGCGACTTGGTTACCGGTATGAATGGCTTCTTTACAGCTCTCTCTTCATACGATTCGAGATCGATGACCTCTTTCCGTTTCATTGTTGTTTTAGGAGCTGGAGTGGCCCTTGGGGCTGCGATACTGTTAGTTTGAAAGTTTCCACAAACCTTGGTAGTTCTGTACCCAGATTCAACTTACTGCATAAGTCTTTACTCATATTGCACGTTGACAGTATCGCAGTAGCTATTGTTCGTGGGAGCTTGTTACAGGATCGATAGGTAGAAAGTTAGTTCTGTCGAGTTGTGCAATGTGCAGATGAGGTGGGAGGGAGACAGCAGAGGAATGGTAAGAAAAGTTGATAGTCATACGAATGGACAAGAATACAGATGGTAAGGGAACGGTAGTTCCTGATATACATTGTACATTCCAAGGTAAAGGCAGTCCCAAGGTAAAGGCGGTCTACAACTTCGCCTTGGTCTTAGCATCCTCCTCTTCTTGCGCCTTCACCTTGAGCATCCGTCTGAGGATCTTTCCGCTTACAGATTTGGGAATCTCATCGACCCACCTCACTCCGCCGCGTAGTCTCTTGTGATGCGCGACCTTTGCGCTCAGCCAGTCTATGATCTCCTTTGCATCTTCATCGGTCTTGCCAAGCCCATCCTTGGGTACGATGTAGGCGCGCGGCAGTTCAGAGGCATCATCCTTCGAATACACTCCAATCACAGCTACGTCGTTGATCTTGGGGTGCGAGACCAAGATACCCTCCAATTCCGCAGGTGGTACCTGGAATCCCTTGTACTTGATGAGTTCCTTTACGCGGTCGGTAATGAAGAAGTTTCCGTCCTTGTCTTGGTATCCAACGTCGCCTGTCTTGAAGTACCCATCTGCTGTCTTCGCATGCGCAGTTCCCTCAGGATTGTTCAGATAGCCCTTGAAGACGTTTGGGCCCTTGATCCACAATTCGCCAACCTCCCCAACTGCCATCTCCTTCTCCTCTGCAGACATGTATTTTGCTGTCTGGTAGGGCAGAAGTTTGCCTACGGATCCGATGGTCTTGTTCCAATCCTCCCATGGTTGAGTATGTGTTGTGGGGCTAGTTTCTGACAAACCGTATCCTTGCTTAACTGGAATCTTCAATCTATCATGGACTGCATCTACGAGCTCCCTAGTCAAAGGCGCTGCGCCAGAGTTCATCATCCTGATTGAGCTCAGGTCGTAATTCGATACCAAAGGATGTTTGCTGAGGAGTAGAACGATCGGCGGTACTACGTAAGCAAATGTAATCTTGAGCTCTTGAATGAACTTGCAGAAGTCCTCCAGGTCAAACTTTGGCATTACAACAAGTTGAAGCCCGGAGTACAAGCTCTGGTGGATCAGGCAAGTCAGGCCTACACAGAGTTAGTTGGGGATAATCTAGACAAGATATAAACAAAACCTTACCGTAGATGTGGAAGAATGGCAGGAAAGCCAGAAGTTTATCACCTTCGCCAGTTGGTCCGCCAGTTGGCTGCAGTTTACCAGCCTCCGCAGCTTTGATCATCATTGTGTTGGAGACGATGTTGCGATGGGTCAGCATTACCCCCTTGGGATGACCTGTAGTTCCACTAGAGTACACCAAAAACGCCAGGTCTTCTGACGGGTTGGTGGCCTTTGTTCTTCGCCATCTGGATGTTCCAGCTGTGTTAACGATGCTAGTGAAATGCTTCACTTTGTAAGACGGATCTTTCTGATCACCCATTACGATCACGCGATCAAGAGGGATGCCAACTTGCTTCGCAGCCTCTTGCGCATTCTTGATGTAAGGAAGCTGGGTCACCAAAGCCTTCGCTCCGGAATCCTTGAGTTGGAACGCAAGTTCCTCAACAGTGTAGTTTGGGTTCGCTGGAGAGAGAATACCTCCTGCCCAGTGGCAACCCCATGTTATTGCAGGTGTGTCGATACAGTTGGGTGTGTACAAAGCGAGAACATCGCCTTTTTGCCACTCCCAGAGTGACTTCAGCCCTTTGCCAAAGGTGATCGCAGTATCTCGAACTTGGGCATAGGTGTAAGAGCGCTTGGTGTACGGGTCGAAGTAGATTACTATTACCGTTAGTGATTACTCATCTAGCCGTAACATGTGAACATGCCTTTGTCATCGGCATATGGCTTGTCCTTCCTTTCGAAGAGAAACGCCCACTACGATTAGAGACAAACGTCAGCGCGAAATCAACCTATAAGCTTATCTCCGGGTACAAAACTTACGAGATCCACATCTGGAATTGGCAAGTCAGGGTACAGGCTCTTTGAAGGCATTTTAGCGGTTGATGATCGACGTGGTGATGGTAATTAATATCCGGCCAAGAGATCTTATGGAGAGAACGGAGTGGAAGTAGAAGGATGCCAGAACAAGAAGACGGACATAAACAGGCGCGTTCTAACTGGCATTGGATTACCGAGGGCAGACGCCGCGCATTGAGGCGGCTGGTGACGATAGGCGACCGGGGTAACTCCCCACAACTTGGGGAACCACGGCCGAGGTTCTTTCCGTTTGCGGCGTTAGCGGTGCGATAGCTGCAGGCGGCCTTCCGAGGTCAATGGCATTGCGACACTGGCGATTCCTAACAATCTGGCCATATAGACCTTTTGGCGTTCTCCATTCACGTCTCGGTTCCGCGACATTAGCCTGCTGAAGATGACGAGCTGGGAAGAAGCTACTGCAGTGGAGAAACTCTCCTCTAACACGTACTCGTGCAACCTACAAGATGATTGGTGCATAGGAAGCGGTATGTCAGATCTGACCCCAGCATAGATAACATCATCCACGTAAACTAACGGCAACAGTTCCTAACGGTGGTTACGTTACCGGATGGTAGGCATCAGTGTGCTTGGTAACAGGGATGACACTAATCAGACTTGAACTCGCAGCATACTGGAAGTAGTCAAAACACATTTCAATACAACTTTGGCAAAACAAAACCAACCACACACAATAACCCTCCATGTCGAGTTTCTGCGACGGACGCAAGCCGGACCTGCCACATACAAAGTCGAAGATGTGAAGCTCGGCCGACAAACGTCTGTCGTGCATGTAACCATGGAGCAAGACGGACGGACCGAAGTCGTCGCGTACGTCACAAACTCTAACATGGATACCGAAGCGGGCTTTACGCACGACACCGGATATCGGCCCTCACCACCCATTCCATCGGTAGACTTTTCGAAGCTAGAGAATGGCGAAGACCCGAACTGGAGGTATCAAGCCGAAATGCCACACGCCGAGTTCAGAAAGGCAACGAAGAGAGTTCAGTTCTACTTCCCTCGAGAAAACAAAAGCCCAGCGTATCTTGCCGATGAGGTAGTTTGCTTCTCCGATGGGAAAAACTTTACGAATTCATCTGTCGCGTTTGTCGCAGACATGTTCCCGTTGATGGTCGAGTCGTTCAAAGAAAAGGGCGAGGGGCCCTTCTGGTACCCAACGCTACTGCTGAACCTGGATGTTAAGAAGTCGCTGCCACCAGAAGGAGTCAAGTGGCTGCAAGTCAGGGTTGAGATGAAGAAGATGCAGAAAGGCAGGATGGACCTAGAAGTGTTTGTGCATGATCCTGCGGGCGATCTGGTGGCCTTGAGCCATCACGTGGGATTCGTGGTAGATGCGAGTAGGAACACGGCAGCAAGGAAGACGGGAAACCCTAAGATATAGAACCGGTGATTTCACGGGTATAGATACTGGCGTTCTGGTAATTTTTCTGCTTATTCAGACAATCCTCATCTATAAACCTTATCTTGCCAAACGCATTTGCTGCATCGTCTTTAGTCATCATGTTGTTGTGTGACGTTGTGTAATTGTCAACATGATCACACGCGAGCTCCTGTGTATAGCTTCCCAAGAACGGCTTTTCGCGGAGCACTATCATGCAACGATTAGCATTGGAACGCAAATGAGATCGAGACAGCATCGGATGGGTCTTGCATGTTTGATGGTGTGATATTTCGATTATTGTATGATGCCTCCAAGCGCTCGACTGGCAGCAATAAGGATTTTAAAATTTACAGGATGCAATTGTGCATCACTCATCTGCCAAACGCCAATGATGATATGCATCAGATGCCCGCTACCCCTTGGCTATAAATTGCCATGCTTTTGTGTGTTCGCTCAATCGATTCGGAGGCGCTTATTTGCCCTTGGGGTTGTTGTATTGCATCTCGTTGAATTTTCCTGGCCAGACAGGCTATCAAGTGTCAGCACAAATGCGATTCTTCAAACCAATAGTCCACGTACCTCGCTCTGTTGGTCGCTAATGTTCTTCTTGAAGTGCTCTGAGTCGGGACCCTTGCTTGGTCCATCATGCCTTCCCTCGTTCGCTGTCGCAGAGCCTACAGATAACGTTAGCAAACTCCGTTCTACATACTTCCAAGTTTTTAAGACTGGGGAGCTCATTGTACTCGTACCGCGCTGGCTACCCCCAGCAGGTGTGTGTGTAGGGTGGCCTCCGCCAGATGAGAAACGGTCCTCAATGTTCTGGACGCCCTGTGTCTTGTACGGGTTGGGGAACCAGTATTGGCGCATGAAGAGGTAGTAGCCGAAGCCGACGGCACCGCCAGCCATGAATATCTTGGGGACAGAGAGAGGTGACATGATTGCGCTGTGTGTTTCTTGGACGATTGAGGCTGTGGGAGGGCAAGGTGGAGGGTGAGAGGTAGAGTGAAAGTGTGGAAGTGGTTTGTGTCGTGCGAGGTGGAGTGACGCAACAAGTCGGGACTGTCAACGGAACCTGGCTTGTGGAGAAGAAGCAAGTAGTGCAATGAGTCTAGAGATCTGGGCGTTGTTTTCCCTTTGTAAGTCGGGTACCCAATGACACGCTGCGGAGAACTAACAGAGGAGCGTCACTTTGTCGTCGCGATGATCGCGTCATGGCCTTGTGCTTTAGGCAAAGCTCCCGCGGTCGTCGCACAAACCAAATACCCACCCGGCCAGGCACGATCGAGCTAGTTCGCTTGAGGCTGAAGCCCAGGCTGACGTAACGAAACGGCCGGTGTGGCTTGTGAAATTGCTCCTAGTCTGTTTTGGCGCCAGCAAGTCGGGGAAGTGGACACGATACCACCGCGATATCTGTTACCCCCTTGCGCCAACACGACCCAGGTTACTTGGGAAGAGAGGGATCGATTGGGGGCGTGGCTTATACCGAGGAGCTTCATGATCATACGGCAAAGAACAGGCTGGGACACAGCAAACGTCACGGAATCCGCCGCGCATTCGAGAAATGGACGGTGACCCTGCCGTCGAGCCAGAAATCGATGGCTTCAGTCGCGTACTTCCTCTACCCTATCGCGTCGCGCTTATTATAGTCCTTGGTACGCAAATCTTCTCTCCACCAGTAATTGCTTTCTCCGGCTGACTAAAGAATGCATAGGCATATGGGCATGGGGCCTTAACCTCCAGTACCTCACCCTTATAAAGATAGATGTCCCAAGTCTGATCCGCTACCCGGGCCGTACCTCACCCCGCCACATACCGCACCACCTCTCCTGCTACCGCATCGCGACTTTTCTCTCCATCCCGCTCGCGCTCTCGCTGCTCCTATTCTGGACCCTTACACACGGCAGCCCAAAAGACATTGCGGGCTGGGAAATCCTGCCAAACCTATACCTTCTAGTACTGGTAGTCGGTTTTGTAGTGCCGCTGCCATTTGTTAGTCGCAATGGGCGGTCTCGCACACTGGCGACACTAAAGCGCATCTCTATTGGCGGCATCGCAGAAGCGCATGATGGCAAATTTGGGGACATATTGCTCGCTGATGCGTTGACGAGTTATGCCAAAGTGCTAGGAGACCTTTTCGTCTCGCTATGCATGTTCTTCTCGTCCTCGCACAGCTCAACAGGGCCTCCGAACAGGAGCTGCGGCGGGGCTTTCTGGGTTCCCTTCATCATCGCTATACCCTCGATGATCCGTCTCCGGCAATGTATCACCGAGTACTATCGTGTTCAGAAGGCGAACAAGCAAACTGGGCAGATTAGTCCAGCGACGGGATGGGGTGGCCAGCATCTGGCCAACGCACTGAAGTACTCGACCGCGTTCCCCGTCGTCATACTGAGCGCTCTGCAACGCTCGCCCGATCCTTCACGCTTTGGCGTTTCGGAAGCGACCCTGTTCCGTATGTGGCTTGTTGCTGTGGTGGTAAACTCGGGCTACTCGTTCTATTGGGATGTAGCCAAGGATTGGGACCTTACCCTCTTCTCCAATGCCCGTACTCGGGATAGTCCCGAATACCCATGGGGTTTAAGACGGCATCGCTGGTTCCATGCCAAAGAGTTCTACTATGCAGCCATTGTGGTGGATGCAATGCTGAGGTGTACATGGAGTTTGAAACTCAGCGTGCATTTGGACCATTTCAACGACTTAGAAGGGGGCATCTTTACGATGGAGGTTCTGGAGGTGTTGCGAAGATGGATATGGATCTTCTTCCGCGTGGAGACAGAATGGGTGAGGAATTATAGGGGTCCGGCGGCTGACGATATCCTACTAGGTGATGTTGGGGTTGGAAACAAATACGATGATAGCGATTAGGCTTCTCGTTTATCCAAATTCTAGATCGATCGCGTGCAACGAACGCATGTTTCAGTTTCGCTTTACCAATGCATTCAACTCAGATGGCCTGTGGGAATACTCGCGATGCAGTTTGTAAGGATATCATGAGCGCTTCGTAAACCGGAAGGCTCGACAAGAGTCTTACTGGTCGGTGACATGGGAGTTTTCCAGTCCTTTTCACTTCCCTCTCATGAACCCAACACATCGATATAGGCACCGGCAACTGCGACATGCGAAGCCTGGTCGTGTAACCCAGAAAATGCATACGTGCATCGTAATTGGATGGAATATTGCCAGGCTATGCTGCTGCGCCTCTTGTCAGTAAGTCTGGACTGTCAGACGCTAAGCCAGGTCTCAATATTCAGCATCTGTTCACTACGTGATTGGCTGAAGGTCATCTTTCTTGCTTACTCCGCACTAGTCGACGCAGCACGAAATGCATTCCTTCTTAGGACTAGCATGAATGGCACGCTTCGATCATCTATATTCTGGACTCCTACTCAACAAGCAACTACTTTCGTCTTCTTGGAACATTCGATTTTCTAAACAAGAAAAGATTTCGGCGTCGCTAGGTTCATATTGTTTGATAATACGTAGTCCTAAAGCCTGGCAGAGTAACTTGCGCTGTAAACTATCCAATGGTGTTTCGCGGCAAACCATCTAAAGCTTGCGAAAGATGCAGAGAGCGAAGACTACGGGTATGTTCGGGTTCGCAATATAGATGCGACGTTAACTTTCCTAGTGCGACCAGCAACGGCCAAATTGCAGCTCTTGTGCTAGAGTAGGAACAGCATGTACCGGCTATCGGGACACAACCAACCTCCGGATTAGCGACCAAACCGACTCTGTACGGACAAAAGCCCTGGCAAATGTAAAGTCCTCTAAGAAGCAGCCAAGTGCTGGCGAACCAAAGACAAAGCTCAAGCTCAAAGTTCGTCATCTTCCCCAGGATCTTCTTATCATGGGTCGAGATATGTTCTTCACATACTATGTCTCTGATTTCAGTCGGACATGGGACTTTTTGTACAAATACCTAGACTCTTCTCAAGCGCCCAAGCATCTGATTCTTAGCATTGAAGCAGTCAGTCTCGCCTTCCTGTCTCATCAAGTTTCCTCCTATACAGCGAAAGATCTTGGACGCAGAAAATACTGTGAGGCGTTACGGAAGATCAACATTGCGCTGCAAGACCCTGAAGCAGCAAGGGCTACCTCGACGTTTGAAGGAGTGCTGTTACTGGATCTCTTCGAGAAGATTATGAAGTCGGCTTCGGAAATCAACACATCGCGGCACGCCCACATCGAAGGCGCACTCACACTAGTGAAATTACGAGGCGTAGAGACGTTCAAGGAAGGCACGGAAATGCGAGCGTTGATGGGACTCTCTTTGAATTCGACTATATGCTCACTCAGTACCGGCCAACCAGTGGACGATGCCATACGACAAATACGAGTACATGCAGCACATTTTGTGAATACCGACTACCCGAAGTGGAAGCTCAGTGGGTTGATGCTCGAAGTTACCGATCTAGCTGCGGCGATGCGAAAAGGATGTATGACAACGGAAGAAAGAATAGCCAAAAGTGCCTATTTCGATCGAGAGCTTGAGCTCATTGCACTTGAAGCAAGCCCGGTTTGGACTTTTGAGCGCAAAAACTTGGGTGTATCTGATGGAGTAAGACTGGTACCGAATGGATTCCCACCTATCTACGACGTCTATCCGGATCGCATGATTACACAGATGTGGAACGTCCTTCGCATAGCACGCATGCTTCTATGTGAGGAAATTATCGCGTCCTGCGCTGTAAGCTCCGACCCCGAAGCGTACGCCCAGGCTGAATGCTCAAAAACTGCCCTCTTGAACTTAGTCCAAGAAATTGTTGCATCAGTCCCACAAATGACAGACTGCGAATCGGTTGCAAAACATAAGCTGCCTAGTGGAAGCACAGGCAAGCAACACACACATAGCATGCCCCACATTCTGGATGTCTACATACTAATCTTCAGCCTATACGTCGTTGCATGGTCGAAAAGCTGTCCACAAGCTGCAGTTGAATGGAGTATCAAACAGCTACAGCACATCGCTGATCACTTCGTCATCAAAGAGGCTGCCGTCATTCTGGAAATATTAAAAAAGCAGAAGATGGAAGAACTGGTCAACCCATGGTACGTATGCATTCTTTTTATTCATTGACATTACATCCCACGGGATTCAAAGTCAGCAGCAGCAAAGAGGATCTTGGCCTGGCTATCTAAGATAGCACATTCATGAACAACCACAATGAAAGAGCTGCGCTAAACACACAGAAGGGGTGTGTTCCAAATTCATGAGACGGCCCTATTGTTGAAAAGAACGCCTGTAATAGCAGGGCCTCCGGACCAAGTCTAGAAAGGATAGGATACACCAAAAGGCGCCTCCACTCTCGCAATCTCTAGGCTCTAGATTCTGAATGTACCCAGCAACTCTTTGTCAACGAGCAATCAGTATGCAGGTACTAACAGTCAGTTTAGGTATAAGGTTTCTGGTCACATATCCAACGCCTCTGGACATCTATGGATGCAGTCTGCCCCTGGTCACGATACATACACAAATTGCAATCACGACACACTCCCTGAAGAATCAGAGTCAGTCTCCCACTCTCATTTGTCTCATCTTGTAGATCTGACCTACGCCATAGCCACCTCTTCAGCTCCGGTTCACATCCCAGGACCACGACAACTTCCCCTCTAATCGCTGGGCTACCCCCAGAATGGCATATCGGATCGTAACACATGACAACAAGACTGACATGTATGCACCGCCAGGCACGACTTCCCAGCTCCTAGTCTAAGCGATATGCACAGCCATCGATATAAGATCCGTGAGACCACGTTCATGTAAGCTGTCAGTCATACAATCGAGAAACAAGCATCTAACATGCTACCCCAAAGGCCGGTCCATCTTCTAGGTCCCCAAGACCCCCGGCTGTGCTACCAAGCTGCCGGTTTCGCAACAGGACCTTGGAGTAGTCTACTCGAAGCACCTTGCAACTCGTAGCTCAACTAAATATCATTATAATCAGCTAAATGCTAGATAGTAGAAGACATGATGGACAGTACTGATACATCAAAGTGATGTGACACAAGAATGCTCATACAAAATAGTCTTCTCATTCTGTTCCATTGCGAACTGATTATAGCTAACGAGGTAAGGTAATGCAGCCCAAAAAAGTGCACCCATACCAACCCATGGAGCACCATAATTTTGCCGCTATTCTACCTCTTGAGGCTCTTCTTCATGAAGATATTTAAATAGTACAAATGGTAATTTTGAAGTAGAAAAAAAAATACTAACACCAGATACAATGCCAAGGACGTGACCGACGAAGCCATCGCCACCCGTTCTCTTGTACGAATAAAATGATACACATGCGCTCCACTCGAAGTGCAAGCGGGGAGCACTAGGAGGATGTGAAGAATAGCAGTACTGTAAAAACGCCATGCAATGCAGAGTTCGTTTCCGCCCTGGATCCAAATCGGTGGTAAGAGTTCACCTTTTTTCCCCGCCAGTGTAGGTGTTGAAACAAAAAGAAGCAACAGGGCAGCGTTGTAAAAGTGTGATGTTGAAAACGGCAGCGCAAAGGAGTGTGCGCTAAAAGCCGAGGCAGAGTTGAAGCCATGTAAAGGTCCCTAGTTGAGGAAGCCCTTGCAGCCGATTGAACCGCAAAGACAAGGAATACGATCAGTAGCGTCCATCTCACGCTCGAACTTGTAGTCGTAGGTGAGCTCTTCATCTGGAATCGTTGTTAGCAAATGTCTAATAATCTCTATTATTCAAGAGGAGAGGATGAACCTACCAGAGTTTATATCCCGCAACGCGTAAATGACGATACGCTTCGTGTTATCCACGCGAATAATCTTAGCTGTGCAATTCGGCGTGCAAGAATGATTGATGAATCTTGCAATGCCACCCATCTTGGTTGCATCAATAACGGTATCTTCGTCAATACGGAACAGATAACTTGATCCGACACCTTGCATGTCGTACTTGGCTTCCCTGAGATCGGCAACCCGCTGGCGAACCTTTTCACCCACGTACTCAATAATCATGTCATTGACAGCGATAGGTTCTTGGGCGTAGAGGCCCCAGTTATGGATAGCGGATCGGTCGAATTTGACGAGCTTCTTGCGCTTCTTGAGCTGATTGAAGCGGAGGGCATCGCCTTCCGCACCAGACAAGTTCTTGGAGATGTTGATATCGTTGACCATGCGGCGGTTGTTGGCGCGGTTGGCACGCGAGTTGGCGGTCGATGTCTTATTGGCGCTGGTCTGGAACTTGAAGCCTTCGACGGAGACGACGCTTCGCTCTTCTTGCTTAGCACGGCGCTGGCGCTCCTCGCGCTCCTTCTGGACGCGGATACGATGAGGTAGGTACTTGGACTTTTCAGACTCGCGAATCTTCTTGACGCCTTCCGTACGGGCCGAGCCAGTTGAGTTAGGAACGTAGTATCCCTCTATCTTCGTTTCGGTACGCGAGACACCCTCCTCACCGTTGCGGTTTAGGTGCTTGATAGATTTTTGCTTCCATGCCCAAGACTGTGCATCTCCGATCTTCTCGGCGGTGATGGACTCCATGGCAGCCCTCAGGTGACGTAGATCCTCCTCGTCCTTGAGCATGTGTTGCCAACCATCAATGTCCATTACAACACTGAGGTCATCTTCAACAGTCTTACGAGGCACTCCAGAAGATACGCCCCAGAGTACAGAAGAGGCTCGCCCGTCGTCTTCCGGTGTGGACTCCTCGACTACGGCTTCTTCAACTGCCTCTTCGACCTTCTTCGCTTCAGGGACCTCCTCTTCAGCGGGCGCCTCGATTTCTGTGACTTCAACCTTCGCAGCCTTGGCCTCTTCTTCAAGTTGCTTTTTGGTCTTCTTCTTAGGCTTGGTCGTGGCCTTCTTCTTGAGTGACGTGAGCGTCTCTGGCAGCTCGGTAGTCTCAATGGGCTTGAGTGCTTCATCATCTTGGGTGATGATGACTTCAGGCTCAAGTTTGTCAACCGGGCTTGCTTCCACGCCAAAGATTGCATCCGCCTCTTGCTCAATCTTCCGCAACCTTCTGAAGCCTTTGAGTGCCTTCTCTGCCTTCTTCCAAATAGGCGAAGAGCGGGGAAGGATCGCAAGCACTTGTTCCAGCTCTTTCTCCGCCATGTTTTCAGGATCTTTGTGGATACAATGGGCAAGCAAACTCCTGGCGTGTGAATCATCCATCTCCTCGTCACTGTCTTCACCCCATCCTGTTTCGAGACGGCGCCGTTTGGCACGATGGGCTCTCGATGACTCTTCAACCTCCTCTTCAACGTCAGTGGAAGGAGCGCGGCTGATCGGGCGGCTCTCTTGCTCTTCGGTACCCCGAGTTAGCTGGCTACGGCTCTCATCGTCCGACTCTTCGGGCTCGAACATCTCAATCATCTGGCGATGAAGGCCACGAGCCACACGAGGCTTGGGCGCAGAAGCTTTCCTCCGTTCGTCTGCGAATGCATTGACAACCTTCGGAGGCCTCTTTCCACGTCTAGTGCTGGGATCAAACGCACCCAATCCCCTGCGTGCATTGCGACCACCAAGACCACCACTGCGGCCCTTGGGAGTACCTGCTCCAAAAGTGTCGAACCCTGGGGCGAGAAGAGCCGGTGGCCGCGCAATCTCTTCCTTCTGGGACGGAGCTGGGACGTTAAATTTGCGACGCTTCTCCACATGGAGCTCCGGATCCAGCAATTCAAGTATAGTGGGCGCCGCTAATTTCGTCTTGATATCCCCAAGGAGCTTCTCTTGGAGCTCATGCTTCAGAACATCCAAAGCGGCTCGTACAGGATCCAGCGAGTCTGCCCTCTGCTTCTTTTCCCACTCGAGGTCCTCCGCTTCTTCCTGTTCTATTCGCTCTTCGATGGCCTTTCGCTTCTTGTCTGCCACTACGCGCTCCGGGCTTGGACTACGCTCGTAGTTAGGATCTCCATACTGATTGCACTCCATATTCATAACATATGTGAATAGCGCTTGCATGTGGCATTCTTTATAGCACCGAACAGCCTCGTCTTCACCACGCTTCGATTCTTCGAAGGTTACATAGTAACCCGTTTGATCGCATCGCACCGCAGCCCACCGAAAGTTCTTCAATCGCTTCTTAAGATGATCAACAGTCGTGCTAAGGACAGGTACGTATGCGTGTGCGATGAAGATGTAAGGTTTCCGTTTCAGTGTGGGCTTGACTGGTTCGCGTTCGATGAGGTAGGAAAGCGCGGCCTTCCTTGATAGAGGTTCTCGAGGTATCGGTATTGGTGGGCGCGCGCCCTTTCCAGATGGACCTTTGGGAACATTGGCTGGGAGGTCGAAGGTTCCTGGTGCAGTCGGTGTCGCTACACTAACAGCCTTCGCAGCATACTTGGCGCGCTGCTTCTCCTCCTCTTTACGGGTTTGCTGCACCGCCATATCCACAAGTTTCTGGCATCTCCGGCCCTCGCGATCAGATTTTACCCTGATCGTGTGTTGCGCAATGCGCTGGTTCGTGCCTTCTCGTTCGGCCCGCTTTGCTGAGGTGGTCGCTTTCATGCCCGGTACACCGCGCGCAGGCGGGGTATCGCGAAACTTGACTAGACATATTCCAAGTGGGCTGCCGTTATCAGGATGTACTTGGTTGCGAAGAGTCTCCACTTCACCATATGTGGAGAAGAATCCACGCAGTTGCGCGTCAGGCGTCAAAGGATCGAATCCCGTTACAACCACTTGAGTCGCGGGCCCTGGACCGCATGATATGCGTTGGTCGAAGGAGTATGGCTTAGCAACATACGGCGCTATCCTGAGTTTTGATTTCGGAGCTCCTACGAAAGAAGTCTTGATGACATAGTGGCCAGTGGTGTAACCAGCAATAGCCAGGCGCGGGTCGGGAGGAGGAGATGGGTCGCCCTGTAACACAAGTTGAGTTAGCCTTAGCGTCACAGGGCGACCACATCTATGTATGTATAACCATCACGTACCTTGTCCAGTATTGTGGTGTATTTCGCCGTTCCTTTTGCTCTCGCCCGTTTATCGAGTTTGGGATCAAGCTGCGCATCGTAGGTGGAGCGTTGGCCCAGCACGCCGTCGGCTGGGAAGACGGATATGCGCGTCTCGGGCGGCGTATTTATTGGTGTGATGGTATCGGCGACATTATTGGGCGCAGTC